TCAGTTGTGGGTTCTGGCTAGCAGAAGTCCCACCGACACGGAATGAATTACTCAAGACTCTGTGAAAAAGTCAAGAGAGCAAGAGGGAGTGGGGAGCCAACTCCACGAGCCTCTCAAAATCTCTCATGTTTACTGAGTTCAAAGGAGGAATGCAGGAATTTAGGGAGGGACAGGGTGGGATCACAATGAGTACAAAGGCTTTGCTTATTGTTGGTGTTTGGCTCAAGGTCAGGAGACCCTTTTTGGTGAATCGTGTTCCTGTTGAGCCTTTCAGCTTATCAGGGAGGAACGTTTGAGAATCAGCTGCATAACAACTTGGACTCAGGCGGCTGTGCCTGCCTTAGGTTGCCCCCTCAGGGGATCTTACCCGTCATTGGCTCACCAGCCTTCTCACCTCTGAGTCTGCAGCTTTTTATAAGTTGCTTACCATTCCAGCCCAAGTCTGTTTTGAGGATTGAAGACTATCTAACAGCAGGTCCGCACAGTGTTTATAGCCGAGGGCCTGGGTCATTGCTAAAACCTCAACTATGCAAGCAAGGCGGTTACTAAGCACATCATCTTTAAGGAGATAAGCCGCTGGGGTCTGTTACAATTTGTTAACCCAATCATGGGCTCCCACAGAGATACACACCTTGGTCATCCTCCTCTCTATCCCAGGATTCTTCTTGTTGACCAAGACTCTTCGCATTTATTTGGAGTCTCTTCCTGAAGCCTGCAGCTGCAACTCATTCATGCTACATATAAGCCACAGGGGCCCCCAGGGCAGCATCTTAGGGTCTCTCTTAAATGTCAGGCTGTCATCTCTGACTTCTTATGGCCTCATCTTGCTGGTGGGGGTCACTGATAGGATGTCTCCCTCCGCAAGCTCCAGGCAGGATGTGGGGCCAGGCGCCATTCTGCCCTGGGATTCCCACCCCGTTCATGTTTCCTGTCCTGATATTCTTCCCTTCCTTTCCAAGTCTCTCAGCACTTCTCGTTTCCTTTTAGAAGCTTTAGGCAAGAATCCATTTCCTTGCCTTTTTCAGCTTCCAGAGGCCATCTGCCTTCTTGGGTCATAACCCCTTCTTGGCATCATGCCAACTTCTTGCTTCCATAGTAATATCTCCTACTACTTGCTCTGCTCTTCCTGTCTCTGATAAAGACTTGTGGTGAGTTCAGGGACTGGGGGGTGACCAGGATGAGACAGGACCACGAGAGGCAGGGGCACACAAACTTTCTTTGGGCGGCACTTGGACAGGGTTGAATGAGAGGGAAGTCCCTCCCAGCAAGAGATTTTCCAGAGACAGAAGCAAGGGCCATCACTCAGATGCAGAGCAGGGCGAGTGAAATTCCAGGGAAGAAAGGGAAATCAGAGACAGGGCTTCCGAGTCTAGGCAATGTCACGCAGCAGCTTAGTGGGGAGTCTCTGGGTCAGAGATCAGCACTTTGGGTCTTTTACAGCCCTGGGATTTGACTGATCTATGGTAAGCAGATGCTGGGTGAAGTTTTGAGGCATATGTAAAGTAGGTGGGCTCTAAATGGCTTTAAAAATAAGTCTTTGTACTATATTTAAAGGAGTTGGATGTATAAGAGTTTGAGTTTGGCACCAGAGGGCTTTAGGGTGATGGTTCCAGCCTGCTGTGAAGAAGTTAACAACACAGGGGCTTGCCAGGAAAATTCACCTACAGCTGAGGACAAGACAAAATGAGAAATGAGGAACAGTAGGGGGCATATGTACCTCCCTTAACTTGCTTACTTTTCTCCAAAATCCTAAAGCAATCTTTTTGGTGGTTTTGAATATGATGAAAGCCATGGATTCACTTTTAGAAAAATACATATCACATCCAATTTCCAAAAGGTTTATAAAATGTCCAACCCCATCCACAGACCTTCTAGATCTGTGCTGGTCAACATGCTAGTCACTAGACCCATGGGGATACTTAAGTCAAAATTGATTAAAATAAAAAATTCAGCTCCTAGCCACATTCCAACTACTTGACAGTCATCAGAGCACACA